CAGTAGGATGTAAATAGCTTCCATGTGCTAGTAGTGTTCCCACAGCGGTGCACTAGGCATTAATGGGGAAGGGGAGTGGACTAATTAATCTGGTGGAGGAAATTTCAAGGCAGCCCAACATTCAGGGTGTGGCAGGGATTCTGCTGGTTGCTTTTGGCGAGATTGACAGTGAGAATCAGGAACAAACAGCTGGGCTGAATGACATTTTACCATTAATTTTGAGGCAGGGAAACTTCATTATGGACTAACATTCCGTGGAAAATTGACCACCAGGAAAAATGCATGTTTGAAAGAGGAGGGCCAAGTAACTTTCTACTAAACAGATTGGCAGGAATGCTAACATCCAAAACAACTGGAAAAAGGATTTAGGGGCATCTTGGAAATTTTCAGGAAGTCCTATCCATCAGTTGCCCCCACTCTTTCCAGAGAAGAAGTGTTTCAGGGACTAAGCTCAGGGAATTCTGCTTGGACTGAACATTTTTTCTCTGATTTCAGCCCTGGTTTATACGGACCCAGATGTGCCTCATGTCAGTTGTATACCTGGTGTTATGGTTTATGTCTGTGTGTCCCCCCAAAGCCTCATGCGGCCATGGGGCAGGCTTTTAGAGTTTGATTATGGATGTGAGAGCTGCACCTGCCCTGGGGTGGATAGTTTGCATATGTAAGGGAGAGGAAGAGGGTGCTTGAGGCCATTCTGCCCTGGTGTGTGGTTGTTGCTTTGCTGTGTTCTGCCACCCTGAGCAGTAGCTCTCTGCCATGTGCCACTCTGCCTTAGAATCTGCCAAGTTCGGACTGAAACCTCCACAAATTGTAAACGAAATAAACCTTTCCTTCCTTAATTTTGGGCATCAGGTATTTTGTCCCAGCAACAAGAAAAAAGTAACCGAGACACCTGGACTTCTGCATGATGCTTGTTTTGCAAGTGTACAGAATGCAAGAAATATGATGTAAAAGCAGCGTACACTGAGAGTTCAGAGGAAAGTCCTGTGGGCAGGTACAAGTTTCCCAAAAATCAGATTTGCCTCCAGTGGGTGATGCCTACTCGAGCTGCAGTGTGGACTCTATAAAGATACAGGTACCACAAAGCATAACACCCATCAAGGAGAGCTGCAGGCAGTCTTCAAAACCTGCTTGAGAGAATAACCATGTGGCTCTGATTAGCCAAGCTTCAGTCAATGTGACCTAAGGCCTTGCGGGTCCATTTGTACCACAGTTTGCCACTATACTAGACTTAAAGCATTAGGATTTATCCTGCTGGGTTTTAATCTTGCTTTGGGTATTCACACCTTCCTACTTGCATTTTCCTCTGTTTTGGAGTGGGAGTATTAACTCTGTTTCTGCCCCACCATTGTATCTTGGAAGTATTTAACTTGGTTTGTTGTTGTTATTATTGTTTTCATTTTACAGAAGTTCAGTGCTTAAAGCATTGACACTGAATCTCAGATGAGGTTTTGGACTCGGATTGTTCAGTGAAATTTGGAGATTATTGGGAAGTGAATGAATTTTAAACTGTGGGATGGACATGAACCTTGGTGATCAGAGGCAGAATACCATGTTTTGAATGTTGTTTGCTCCAAGGACTGATGTGTTGGAGGCTTAGTTCACAGTGTGATGATGTAGGGAGATGGAGTAAACCTTTAAGAGGTGGGAAATACTGGAGAATCCTTAGATACTGGGGGTGTTGCCCTCTGAAGGGATTGAAGTGGTCCCTCCAGAGAAAGTTGTGTTAAGAGCAAGCCTGATCTGTGACTCATGTTCTGGTTGCCTGTCTCGAGATGTGTTCCCTTCCTTCCACACATACTCTTAATGTACTATTTATGATGAGGTCCTAACCTGAACTTGGTTGATGCCTTCACCATATCTCTGGGCCTCTAGAACTGTAAGCTAAGTGATTCTCAATTCTTCATAACGTTATCCAGTCTCAGATACTTCATGCCAGTAAAGAAAATCAGACCAAGGCAACTACAAAAACAAGTCTCATCATTCTTCTATGTGGTGTCAATAACTTCAGTAATTCAAAATGATAAGACTTCCCTTCATGAGCACGGATATCTCTAGTCTTTAAAAATACCAATACTAGTCTCTAAATGTACCAGTGTTCAAAGAATCATGTCTATAGTACTAATAGTTTAGCTTAAAAAGGAATTTTAGCACAAATGGTAATAATTTACATTCTTATAACTTGTGGCAGAATTTTACCAATTAGTGTGAGACTTTAAGTTTAATGAGAAATATATAGTGGGGTAGTTGATTTAGAGTTCTAACTTTATGTTGGATCATTAGTATATTTTTGTTAAAGATTAGCAAATCTACGACAACATCCAGTCCACCAAGCTTATTGTGTGTGCAAGCTTAATTCCTAGACTTTTAACTTCTTATTTTTGTTTTTTTTCCATATGGTAATGGAACTAATGACCTTGCCCTTGCCAGGCAGGTGCTGTGCCGCTGAGTTAAATCCCCAGCCTGACTTTTAACTTATTTAAGACGATTGTATTTGTTAGAGAATTTGAATCTTTTAAAGAAAAATAAATATAGCTTTGATTATTGTAATATATTCCACGTAATAAGTTTATAAGTATATACATAATATAGGTTTCTAAAAGTGTTATATATTTCAGGCCCAACGCTGACTTGTAAATAGAATAAGAAATTCCTACCAAAGTAAATTTTAAAAAGTTAATAGAAGAAAATGTTTGTGAGCTATTAATCTGATACAGGATGAGTATCTAGAATATATAAATAGGTTAAAAAAAGAATAATCAATAAATGAACAACTCAGCTGAAATGAAAAACTGAGCTGAAAAGCTTATTCTCTCAAAAGAAGTACAAATGGCTGATAAATGTATGAAAAAATATTCACCTTATTTATTTTTTATTTTAAAGAGAAAAAAATAATAAAATAACAACAATGAAGACAAAAACAAAACAACACAAAAACAATAAAAAAGATACAGGATTTCAAAACAAGATGACAGAAATTAACAATGCTTGTTATATTTCATATTATTATCTTCAACAAACCTGCTCAGATTACCAGATGTAAGAATGCAAGATTGATCAAACAATTAAAGACAATAACAAGTAATAAAAAGCATTAGAAATGATACAGAGCTTCATTAAACAAGATGGTAGGAATTCAACAATGGTTGTTACACTGCATATTATTGTCTTCAAATCAGTTGTTCTGATTATCAGGTATAAGCATGCAAAAATGGTCAAGAAAAAAAAAATTTAAGCATTAAATATTGACCTTATTTAACTATCCGGGAAGTGGAAAGCAAGCCTGGATTGAGTTTCCATGTCACTCCAGTTAGAATGGCTATTATCATGAAAACAAAAAAATAGGCAAGTGCTGGTGAGGATGTGGAGAGAATGGAACCATTCTACACTGCTGGTGGCAACAGAGATAACAGCCACTGTAGGAACATAAATGGAGGCTGATCAAAATACTCCAAATAGTATAGCGGAAATATGATCCATTCTACTGCTGCTTCGTATGCATTTGAAAGAATGAAGGTCAGCCTACTGTAGAGATACTTGCATGCCCATGTTTATTGTGAGACACTTTACAAAAGCCCGTATGTACGAGTACCTTGGTCCTTGGTACCTGTTCACAGAGGAACGGATGCAAAATGTGTAGTGTCTGCATAATAGAGTATTAGTCAGCCAGAAAGAAAAAAAAATCAGGTAGTTTGCAAGATAATGAATGGAATTGAGATAACCATGTTAAGCAAAATAAGCCAGGCTGAGAAAGACAAGTATCACATGTGTCCTCTCATGTGGAATGGGGGAGGGGGTGACACGGAAGGTAGGAGAATAGCGGGGGAAATATCAGGGAAGGGGAAAGACAGGGTAGGGAGGAGGCAGAATAATAGAGCAAGGGGGGGACATCATCAGTGTACTTTAAATACCCGTATGAAAATGTCATAATGAAACCCATTATTTTGTCTACTCAATGTGCTAATAATTTCTAAAGAAATAAAAAGTCAGTTTAAAAGAGCAAGGGGGAACTCCACACTTTCATCATCGCATGCACTTAGAGGAGAAAGTAAACAGTCTGTCCTCTCTCACAGACTCTGAGTGAAATCTTGAAAAAAATTCTGAATAATGACTCAAAGACAAGAATCATCAAACTCAGGGTTTTTGACTTGGATGGAAGAACAGATGGATCACAGGGGACTTTAAATGTTTATTATTAGCACTGCATTCACAAAATGTTATTTGATGAAACAAAATTGACATTTCTTTACTGAATACTGAGTTTATTCCTCTAGAAGTAGGTTAGCTCCCCGCCCCCTTTCTGCGGGGGAGGGTGTCATATGTCTGTATCACAAGCTCATCTATTTCTGACACCAGGACAGGTCTGCAGGTGAACTGTTACCTGGTGTTCAAGTAGAGGAAACTCACCTTCTTTTCCTCTCTGTTGAGGAACCAGGCTGTGGTGGTCCCAAGCCTTATCTTCATGACAGTCCCTTTCCTTCTTTCCTCTCTCAAGTCCCTGCTATTCCTCTAGCACTGTTGGGGCTATCTTCCTGGGAAGACTCAGGACTGACCCCTCCAGTGGGCTCCTTTATCAGCCAGACCCATGTGATTGTCACCTACACATCAGGGGACGCAGGCGTCTCACAGTGTGTGCATCTACCAGATGACTCCTGGTCTCTAGCCCTGTACAAAGCCTCGCACTGTCCACGTCCCTGGTCATATAGGTCCACCTTCCTAGGCTGAGTGTTCTCCTGTCCTCTTCTTCTTACATTTTTATCCCATCACAGAAGATGTAGATGAAGCTTCCACACATAAAAAACTCTCAGTATCATCAAGGTATCTAGCAGCCTCTGTTTTGCTTACTTTTCTCCCATTGCTGAGACAAAATACCCGACACCCAAAGTTAAGGAAGGAAAGGTTTATTTAGCTCACAGTTTGTGGAGCTCTCAATCCATAATCAGCTGGTTCCAAAGCAGGGTGGCTTGACATGGGGGCAACAGCTCAAGGTGACAGAAGACAGCAAAAGCAACAAGAGCAAAAAGGGAGGAACAAGAAACCAAGCCTCTTTCCCTCCCTTATATTGTATGCGGGTTACCTGCCTAGGGCAGGTCTAGCACTCCCACCCATAATCTCAGCAATGGGCCAGGAATCAATTACAAACTCTAGAACCTGCCCCCCTGACTGCATGAGGCTTCGGGGTGACATCTAGACACAAACCATAATAGCCTTAAAAAGCAGTGGTGAATTCCCTTTTCTGGTCATTAGTAGCAAAACATAACTTATTGAAAAACATATTGATGCTACTGGCAAAAATATTACCAGTTGTTTTTTAACAATTTCTACAAAGTCTAGGAAGTAACCTGGGAAAGGCTGATCTTGTAAAGACTTACTGCGAAGACAGACCTCTCTCCAGCCAACAAAAGCAAAGCTGTAGAAGGCCAGAGGGGAGAATCAAAGAACCCCAGTCCCAGCAAATAGGCAAGCTTGAATGAGGTAGGAGAGCAAAGGAGAAAGCAGGCCGCGGATTCACACACACCAGAGGTCCTGGGTGAGGAGCTGTGTCCACCTGGGAGCTGGGGTGCCTGGCCCACTCCACATGCCAGAAACAAAGGGAGCTCATGAGTGACTTGAGAGCTAGGACTCAGCCTGAGATGTGGCCACACATTTCTCCATCCTAGAGCCCCAGGTCCACTCCATTATGATGTATTTTTCTCTGTATTTCCACACCCCCTTCTCCAGCCACCTGCACAGGCACTCCGCGTGTTCTGTGCTCTGCCGGCTTTACACTGGCACACAGTTCCACTGGTTCCAGTCGCAGGGCATGGGGACATGGTGCAGCTTGACAGTCACTCTTTGAATAATGTAGTTGGTCCTAGCAGTATGAGCATAGAGAGGGAAGCCGCGTTTGCTCAGCGTCTGGATCTGGTAGAGGCCAGTATGATAAATGAGCGCCTGGCCCCGGTACTCAGGCACAGTAGCTCCCATTCGCAGCTCTCCAGTGTGGTCCATCAGGGCCCAGGACACGGGGGTCCCCTCCGGCCCCAGCAGACAGAAGCTGGGAAAGGTCCGGATACAGCGCTCAATGAATCTCTGGCTTCTCTCAGTGCCACCGAAATACCACAGTTGGTTCACCAGAGCAGCATGGGCAACGTCCAGGGATGAGCGCTTAAACATCTCTTGGTTGCTGTTGGAAAGAAGAAAAAGAGCAGCACTTCGTGTCACGTCCTGGAGGCAAAGAGGCGGTACTGAAGGGCATGTGCTCTGAAACCCAGTGACGTGGGTTCGTATCAACCTGCTTGTGTGGCGCCGGCCCTCTCAGTAGCGAGCCTCTCCTTCTCTGCATTTCTTTGCAGAGAGACTAGAGATGCTGGGCACAACTGACTCCCCTGGACGATCCCCGAGGGGGCTGAGGGGCCGCAGGCAGTTAGAGCAGCACTGTGGGGGCCAAACGTGCCGCCAAGAAGAAGCAAACAACAAAAAAGCAAAGTAAAGGAAATAGCTAATTTCAGATAATCATAAGTGCAATGGAGAAAGCCAAACTTGCTCATATGTGGGGAGCAGCAGGGAAGAGATTCTGCGGGGGATGATTTTCCCAGAACCCTGGTGAAGTAACATTTCAACAGTCTCCAGTAACAAAGGAAGTCGTTTGTGTAGACCTTTTTTACTGCCTGTATATGTTTGTGATTTATAATAACTGCATTCATCTTGGGGCAATTGCAAGTATACATAGCTCGTCTTGGTGTTTTTTACTTCCTCTTCCTTTGCCTTCCCCTCCCCTCCCATTCCTGGATCCCCTTCCCATCTCCACAGAGTCTATCTCCCTATTTCCTACCATCTCTCTTTTATTTAGACACTGTAGGATTGGGAGCGATGTATTTTAGATGGATGGGGATGTTAACTGCATGGCTCCACAGGCCTCAGAGACAGCCAGCTTGCCTTCTTTGTATCAGGAAACCCCAGACAGCACCTCCTGTCCTTTCCATTGCATGGAATGCATGCAGGGTCTAGTGGGATTCTAGATGTAAAGGGCCTCCCATGTTGTAATGCACCTTACAATGTGAATAAAGTTCTTCCAGGAACAGTAACACATGAGGGCCGTGGGACTGAGCCTCTGCTGTCCAAATACGCTGCAAATCCATCTGCAGTTCAAACCCAGTACTGGCGCTAAATTCCACGCAGAATTAGAGAGAAAGTCAGTTTGGGAAAATGTGTGACTTGTTCAAGTTGTCTTCACTGGAACCCTTTTGTTTTGTGATGTGAATTCATTGCACACGTATTTTCTGAGTACCCACTCTGTGGGGGGCACAGTAGTCCCCGCAGGGCTAGTGGGGACCAGGGCGTGCTCTTGCTCTTGGAGTGTTTCCGTACCATTTCTGGGAAGATTCAGACATCAAGTAACTGAGCTAAATGTATGAGCTAATTTCAAATGCCACATATGCAACGAAGAAGAAAAAGCTTGGTCATTTGTGGAGAATAACACTGAACTCACTTGAGGGATGCTTTACCCAGGACTCTGGGAAGGAAAAAGTTCAACATTCATGAGCGAGGACAGAAGTAATTTTTGAAAACGTTAAGTAGGGTTCCAGGACATATATTTTAGGCAGGAGTGGGTTAAATGTCCAAGGCTTTGCCTGCTTCAGAGTAAGCATGGCCCTGTCAACATTTTGATTTTGAATTTCTAGACTAAAAACTGTAACAATTAATTTCTGTTGTTTGAAGTAAAATTTTTGTGAGAGCCCTTGAAAACTAATGTAGGAAGCAACTTCACCCATGACAGATGTGGATGCCATCGAGCACATTCTATCAAACTTACAGGGACTTGGCTTCATCTCCTTTGAGCTCTAAGTTCTTTACATCCACCAGAGAAGGGAGCAGTTTCTTTGCCGTGTCAAATGTCATGTAGAGGTTGCACTGTGTGTGTTCCACCTTGCTTAAATTGACGTCTACAAGATTTTGTATCACTCCATTCAGGCTGGACTGTGAACCTAGTTGTGAAAAAAAAAAAAAACCATAGGAGATATCATCGATTTTCATTTTGGGGACTTGAAGCCCAGGGATGTTGGAAAATATGTGGATGGAGAGTCATCATACAGTGCATTAATCAGATTTTGTGAAAGTGGGACAAAATGCCCAACACCTTTATCTTGGAGCATAGGTTCTGCTTGGTTTCCAGTATCAGGGAATTCAACCCATGACTTGGAGGCTCAAGGGCAAAAACATCTTGGTGGAACGGTGTGGCTGAGTAAGAATGTTTAGTTATAGTCAGGGAGTACAGCAGGTGTATAGCACCAGCGATGAAGGGGCAGAGACCATAAGCAGTACCCAAGGCCCAACCTCCCCATCTCACCCAGACACGCCAAGAACTGTGCTTTGTGAATCCCCTCTGCATTTCTTAATCCAGGAAAGCTGACACATTGCATTAACACTCACCCTCATACTTTGTGATCAACCATCACAGAGGTTTTATGTAATAATGGTTATATCACTTCCATATTTTTTAAAATTTCAGATTGAGATCATTCAAGAGGACCTAAGTATATTATACTACAATTACACCTATCAAAGGAGATGAGGTATAGACATAGGGACTAAAATTTTTTGAACAAATTCAATGCAGTCAGTGCTATAGACCTTTGCTATCATACCCTAGATTATTTCTATTTTGCTAATCTGATTTTCTCTCATGACCTGATTCTGGGTTTAGATAGTAAATGGCCTTGGCCAGTGCAGCAATAATAAATGTGACTCAGTCAGAGACTCTAAAAGGGTACTGCTGCTTGCCTATTTTTCTGTTCCTGAGGACTCTGTGATTTTACATGTGAGTTATTCTCTGGTCACTCCCATCACTGCAGTCAGTAGCTAGCAAAAGCCGTAACTAACAAGATCCAGGCTTAGGATTTACTGACCTAGTCCCACCAGCTCACGTACAATCCTTCAGCTAACTATGTCCAAGACCAGCACAAGAACCACTTAGCTGAGCTGTTCACAAGACCAGAAGAAGAACCATACAGCCGAGCTGAGTCCAAATTGCTCATTCACAGTGTTGGAAGATAAAAATGGATTGTTGGTTTAAATAGTTATTTTGAGATGGTTTGAAGATCTGATAAAACAAGAATTCCACTATGCATTTCCCAATCACAATCTCACGTAATCCTTAAAGGCACTATATTTTGGTTACTGTTACTATCATTTTAAGCACCAGGAAACTTATCCACAGACAGCTTGTTACTGTCCCTAGAACACACACCTAATAAGAGGTCTGGCGATCGTAGGTAGTCTGACTCCAGAGAGCCTATTCTTATTGATTAAAATATCCCTTTGTGAACTGACAGTGTGATAGGGAGCTTTTCTCCCTACAAACTTTGCCTTTGTTAGATCCGGGGGCACACCAGAGAATAAATCAGGAGTTGTATTACAGTTTGCTATATAAACCATGTATGCTGCTGTCGACTCATTTTCTCTATGGTATAGTAGCTGCTGACACTAGGGATAGACAGCAGACTTTGTATCTTGGAAGAAAGGCGTATGAGCTTAACATGCTTATTCAGGATGAAGATCAATCCCACCAGCACACACAGAACTCAACGTCAAGCACAGACTCCGGTTCTCTTACTTTGAATCTGCAGATGCTGTTTCCAGTTGATGACTGCGGGGGAGCCCAGGAATTCCTGGCTTTGGTCAGGATCCTTGGAGTAGATTAGGTAAGTGTTGGTGTAGTGATCGAGGTCGTCAGTCATTTCCTGTTTGAGAAGAGAGGAGTCAGCTAGTGTTTGTAATTGGTAATTGCTGTGATGGTATTCAGTGTTCTATTATAGTATGACTTCTTGTGCATTGTTAGTATTTTCTGTTGCTTTTTTGCTTCCATTTAGGAATTATTTACATTATGTGGGTAAATCAAGGTCTCATATTCAGTTAAAAGTGAAAAAAAAATCCTGAACATAACTCTTGGTACCTCAGCTAATGCTTTGAAAGTTCAAAATAATCTGATTAAAATAATTTTTGATACCTCCAAAAATCCTAAGTGGGTAATAATTGAAGAGCAAAATAATAAGTGAAAAGAGTAAGTCTGGCACTGGGCTATATGTATGTTCTTACTAAAATCTACAGTGGTTACAGAACTAGAATGTCATCTATGAAAGATGGAAGTAAAGAAAAAGTTCATGACTAGCCCTTTCTTTAGAAAAAATGGCATTTAAAAATGAACTACAGTAACATCAAACATATTGATATATATATTCAAATACATCTAGCAAGTATCTCAAACATAGAGATCATTTTAATATGAAGGAACAGATAAGGGAAAATGACCACCTCTTAGCATCAGAAAGGTTTTTTCCTTCAGTATCAAGAAAATATTAAAAATACACTTCCTACTTAGCAGTGACACTAAGTATCAGAATAGCAATTTTCTTGTCTTGTCACATTAAAAATTCATATTTTTAACATCCAGTATTAACTAAATTTCTACTAAGATGAAAATCTGATACTTTAGTAATATGTGCCACATAGTACCATCTGCCACATAAGGCTGTTCTTATTGTTTTTGATTTATTAATTTTGTTGTAGACAGTTACAATGCAGTTAGGACAATGTCTTAGTAAGAGTGGTCTACTTTAACAGCTAATATGATATCAAGGCCAGTGTTTTTAAAGACAGGAAGTGCACTTTTCCTTTAGACTAATAGTTGAAAGTGGAACTTGGAGCTGATTTATTGCAATATAGAAGTCTAGCCTAGAACACGGTCTTTAAACATCTCTAGCAAAAGATAAGACTTGTGTATGTCATTAGCATGATCTTAAATTGGAAAAAAACTTCCAATTGTTGCCTCTAATTCCCATGAACTGAATGTGAGAAATAACAAAGTTTGGTTTTTAGCATCAGCAGATCCTTGTTGAGGGACTATCTTGTGAACAAAATAAAATAGTGTGTGCATCTGAAAGCATTCAATATATACTTCAATTTTCTGTGCTGTTTTTATGGTTGAGACCTAACATGTCCCCTGAAAGTCTCCACTTTTGAAAGATGATTGGGTCATGGCAGTGTTATGATTATCACCGATGAGTTTATAGCTGAATCTGATGTTGGATGTCAGGCTGGGGTGGAAGGGGAGGGTCACTGGGGTCTGACCTAAGGACTGTATTCTTGACTCTGCTTCTTCCTTTGTCTCCCTGCTTCCTGCCTGCTAGGAGTTGAGCAACTTCCTTCCCCCATGGCCTTTCACCACGCCGTTTCTGCCATGAAGCCAGGCAACCATGGACTGAGCCCTCTGAACTGTGAGCCAGAATAAACCTTGCTTCCATTAAGTTGTCAGTGTGCGGTCTTGTGATCTAGAGACAAGCAGGTGACTAATACAGCTACCATTGTATCTTCTGCGCATTTCTGTTCCTGCCCCTTTCACACAATGTTATAATTCATGTATGAATTTCTCTAGATTCTCCTCCAGGCTGGATTTCTGGAGGACAAGGACTTGTTAGCCCTACTGTGAGACATGTATGTTTCTCGGAGGCATACCACACTCCTGGCACAAGGCAGTCATACAACATACACAAACACAGTGGCATATTCGTTCCATAGCTGGCAGCTTACCTGCTCCTGAGGACGAATAACCACAGTATTAAAATCAGGCCATGAGTCCACCAGGGCCTTAAGCTTGAATGGATTTCCCTTGTTCATGTGGAAGACAGTCCCATAAACCTACAACATTTCAATAAAGCGAAAGATCACCTCATTACAAAGAGATGCTGGAGTACCTCTTCTTTGACCAGAGCAGTGTTTTTACCCATGAAAGCATGTAGTTGTTTGACTCAAAAATAGCAGGTAAACATCTGTGTCAAATTGCTTGTAAGGTCTGTTTCTTTACTCTGATTATAATAACATTTAAAAGTGTTAAGACCAACACAACTCACAAACAAATGTGTTAACTCTTCCTGTAGAATTTAGTAAGATCATTTCACAGATTTCCTTCTATTATGTACCCAAAACAAATTTTTAAAAACTAAAAATATTAGACATATAGACCTTCATTCATTGCAAGTGTTTTTTTTTTTGTGATTATTCATTGAAGTATTATGGTTGTTATTTTTAAAATCTCAGATTATTCTGATCACTTCTACGTCAATCGCTATTCCTCATTTAAATTACATATTTTTTGTTCTTAAAAGAAAAGTTATTACATTGGCTGTCTGAGTTACTGGAGATTATGTCATAAGTTCTGGGTCTTATTTAAATTTTGTTTTCGAGGCTTTCTCTCTGCCTCTGTGGCAGAGGAAAGGAGTATGGCGTCTCACTGTTGCCAGTTAGAGATAGACTGCATGTTTCTCTCCTATCTACCACACTTGAGGGAAATTTGGCTCCTCGGTATTGCGGGGCTCCCCACAAGATCCCATTATACATACACTGGAACCTTAGCATGGAGCGGCCAGGATCCTAGCTGTGCTCCCCGTGCCCCTTCCCCGAGGCCATCCTGCTCTGTGTGGCCCCTTCAGTGCTGAGTTCAATGAGAGTTCCGAGTCCCCACCAGGCCACCACTCAGAGGAGAGAGCAGGAGGAGTCTCCTTTGTTCTGGAGGTTGGAGCCCATGTTCCCCACTCAGCCTTTTCTGATGGGGCTGCACTGCGGGGTTGCCGTGGTGCTTCCTTCACGTGTACAGATGCTGTGTAGAGTTTACCAGGCGTCTGCTCTCTTAGTGCACTGACTAAGGAGAGAAGGCTTTTCTTCCAGGGTGTGCAGCTGTGCAGCATGGTATAGCTAGCTGTCCAACTTCAGTCGTGTCTACAGGAGGTGTCGAAAGAAGTGTGCATTGGAACAAATCCCCCTGCCTACTCCAGCTTCCTCTTTCTGCATTTCCAAGTCTTCTTACATTGCACACACACACACACACACACACACACATGCACGCACACACCTCTTGACTCTCTAGTACATCAATGAGTAAAAGTGCATTATAATTTCCTTTTCTATTTTTCTCTTGTTTTATATCACAGGGCTGCAGCAGGAAGAGCAGCTCACTCAGCTCCTTCACAGAGGCAGGTGTCTCCTGTGTGGACCAGCTCAGATCCCCCAGCGTGGGGCTGGACTTCCCTTGGCTTCCTGGTGTTCACCAGGGGTGGCCCTGCGCGGATGGAGGTTGGAGAGGGTCTCAGGACTGAACCCTTTTCCTTCGCATGCTGTGCCAGGTGCAAGTGGAGTCCTGCTCATCAGCCTTCTCCTGTTCTGTTCCCTTTCCTTTTCAACCACAGCACCCTGATCCTCTCCTCCAAGATGAGAACCCACATCCCGCACCTAGTCTCTCTGTGATGCATTATTACTGCTCTTCCACTCTTTTATGTTTTTACCATAGTCTTAATCTTGAGATACAGGTTCACAAGCACTTGCTGGAAAACGAGCTTGTATTCCCTTTTGTTGTGTCCTTCTACAGCAACATTTCCCCAAAGCTAGAGTGTAAAACTACAGCGAGGAGATTGGTACTGAGAGAAGCAGGATGTGGACTATTTCCAGCGGCATGGGGGCCCTGTGTTGTCTCTTTATGTTTGTTCCCACTCCTTTCAATCCAAGTGCTCCTTGGCCATTGGCACCACGTTTGTGTCCTGCTTCCCTGTAACACTGCAACTGCAAGAGTCTTTTACAAACAGAATCATGCAGCCTGTAAACTCTTAGGAATTTTTTCCCACTCAGTGTACTTTTCTGGAGATTCATTCATGTGTTGGAAGCATCAACAGTTGATACATTTTACTGCTCAATATTTTTCTATAATATGGATATGGTGAAATTTGACCTTTTACCTTCTGGAAGCTATCTGAGCTATTTCCAGCTTTAGCTATTTTCTATGAAGCTCTTGTATATATTTATTTTGGCACTTTTTTATCAGCTGTGTATATTTTTATGTGAGCATCACTTTACGGTTTTTGGAGACACTCGCTCAGGGGGTAGTTGCTGGTTGTATGACCACTGTACATGTAGCTTTGAGACAAATCTGCAGCTGTCCTACTCCTCACTCCCGTCCCAGCTTAGAGGTGACCCAGTGTTGATGCATTATTGCCAGCATTTTGGTCTTGAGCTCCAGCCTTGTTCTAAGCAGGCAGGTGTCCTTGGGGCAGGTGAATCAAGTATCTGAATTATATCCGGGCTCCAGCAGTAAGAAGCTGGCCATGTTATCCAGTTTCTCTCTGTCTCTGATCCATCATCTGTACCATCAGGAGAACAGTGCTTCCTTCTCTGAGTGCTTTCAGATATATATCAGTTCATCCATCCCTTTTTACTCGTCCAGTTTCACACACCAGGGAGACAATACTATGTTTGCACATGTGACTCTGATTTATTCCACTTATGAGTATGGACTCAAATTGTATCCATTTACCTATAAATGTCTCAAGTTTATCTTTCTTTATGGCTGAGTAGTACTCCATTGTATAAAAAGACCATATCTCTTTATCCATTCCTCGGTTGATGGGCATCTGGGTTGTTTCCAAGACTTAATTATGGGACAGATTACACTGCTATTTCCTTGGGTGCAGGCATCTTGCTTCATCGGTAAGTCTCAGTGAGCTGTGAGAGGGAACACTGAAAGGTGCTTGGCGTTGCTGGCTCTGCTCCTGTCCCTGGTGTGGGGCCCCCTGGACCGGAGCTCTGTGCTCTTCTTGTTGATTCAATTGCTGGTTTCTTGTGAAAATAAATTTTAAAAATCAATTCCTACTAAAGAATCCATTACTACACTCAGTAGTTGTCCAAAATTTAAAGTACAAAAATAAGTTCTTTAAAAAATACACATAAATACAAACCTTTTGTAATAAATATTGCTGCAGTGATATTCTGAATAGTTTTGTCCTGGTTCTCTTTCATGGGTAACATGGGGTCTGCTTTTGTGCTTTTGTGTAGTAGGATCTGACCTATTAAATGTTGCAAGAAGATGCGCGGTAGTTAACCTCTCATTGATACATGAGTTTTAAAACTGTTATCTATTGAAATCAAACATTTAAAGATATAACAGGGAAGGGGCTGGGGATTTAGCTCAGCGGCAAAAGCGCCTGCCTGGCATGCGCAAGGTCGTGAGTTCGGTTTCCGGTACCGGAGAAAAACCAAAAAAAAAAAACAAAACAACAAAAAAAATAAAGATATAACAGGGAAAATGTTTAGTATTGTAAAAAAAAAAAAAAAACAAAACAACAAAAAAAATAAAGATATAACAGGGAAAATGTTTAGTATTGTGAATCATTTCTGAAAGTCTACATTGAGTGAGCAAAGAACACTCCCCTGCCATTTGGGGTATTGGGTAGGTCACATCACGGGGACCTGTTTCCTTTTCTGCGATACGAGTATAAAACACCTCTCTTCCTAGAAGTGAGGTGGACATCAAGTGACACAACATCAAAGAGTTTCTGCCGTGGCCCGGATGCTTGGTATCAGGTACTTGTCTGCACTCTCTCACAGGCCCTCAGTGGTCCTTTTTCCTGAAGAACGTTCCAGTCTCACCTTTAGGGACTCGGGGAGGGCCATCCTCAAAGATTTCTCCAGCAGCTGCAGCTTCTGTGGACTTTGCAAATGCAACATCTTGGCAAGTACCTCAGCCTGCAGAGACAGGGAAAACAGCCAGACGTGAGAAGAGGCTTCCATTTGTTCCAACAAAGCACCGTAAGTGGATACTGTGTAAACAACAGGGATTTGTGCGTCACGGTTCTGGAGCCCTGCTCCCGCAGACTCCATGTCTGGGGAAGATCTGCCTTCTGGTTCACGGATGACACCTTCTGACTGTGTTCTTAGTACTGGAAGGACAAGCTAGACCTCTGGCATTTCTTTTATCAGGGCACTAACCCCACTGATAAGGGATCCATCCTTGTGACCTACTCACCTCCCAATGGCTGATTTACCTGAGTATTAGTAACAAGAGAGAACAAGCTGCCCTCTTTTATTTTTAATGATCCTTGTGTAATAAAATTTATACCAAACCTAGACAATATAAGAAGTGATGTTATAAGCCAACTCCATCTATAATGATAGAGTAAACTGAACTTGAAATGGAGCATTTACAATTACAAGCACTTTGCATGTAACATGTCAGTACTACCAACAAGTGCCTTATGCAGTGAGGACGATTCTACTTTTCTTCTAAGTTTTATGCTAAGTGTTCTTTTTATTATTTTCATTTTAATGGGCTATGTGTGCAATACATAATAACTGCATTCACTTTGGGAACTGCACATATTTACATACATATCGTACCTTGCCATTTTATTTCCCCTCCCCTCCCCTCCCCTCCTGTCTTCCCTCATCCCATATCTCCTTCCCACCTCCACAAAGTCTGCCTCCCGGTTTCCCTATTATCTGTCTTGTATGGTGCTTTTACAATTATGCATATTTGGTGTTTTTTTATGAGACAAGCCATGTGATATATATGCTTCTAAGTCCACTTAGTCTCAGCATTATGGTCTCAAGGTGCATTCATCTTCCTATAAGTGAGTCAAAGGGTCCTTCTTTATGGCAAAGCAGCTGCCTATTATATGCCTTGGAAGAGGTGGAGCTGGCACAGTCACTTTAGATTTCTAATCTTACTGTGAAGGACAGGACACTGGAGAGGCACCACCGAAATTCTGCGGGGCCAAGCCAAGAAGCCACTGTGACACAGGAGCAGCGGGTGCTGAGCTGATGTCTAAGCACAGGATTTTCTACGGGGCCTTTAGTTTGTGTCACACACACCAAAGTCCTCACAAACGCCAAGGAAGAATGAGAATGGCCAGAATATAAGGTCTTTCTCTCTAAAAGTTTTCTTTTACTTTTTTCTACCATTCTGAATTTCATTCATTAAAGTAAGTTAGGATTTTTTTTTTTTTTTGGTGTTTTTGAAACAAATTAAGACTGTAAGATGAATTTTCTATTCCCAGGATAAATCTCATTGATTGAGACATATGAAGCTTTTTATATAATAACAAATACATTTCTATTACACTGTTGAATATTTCTTCATTTATGTTTCTGAGGTATATAGGCCTACACATTTCTTTATCCAGTCTTGATATAATATTTACAAACTGCATAATGTGAGTCTTCTGTGCAAGCATGCATGCACTTGATCAGAAGTTAACAACAAAAATAAAATAAAATAAATACAAATGGCAAATAAATACATGAAAAATGTTCAACATCATTAGTCATTCGAGAAATGCAAATTAAGACAATACTGAGATATCATCTCACTCCAGAAAGAATGGCTATCATCAAGAAATCAACCAATAACAAATGCTGGAAGGGCTGTGGGGAAAAAGGAACCCTTCTTCACTGTTGGTGGGAGTGTAGACTTGTGCGAACATGGTGGAAATCAGTCTGGAGATTCTTCAGTAAACTAGGATTAGAGGTTCCATTCAACCCAGCTGTTCCCCTTTTGGATATTTTTCCAGAAGAACTAAAAACATCATACCACAGGGATATATGTGCAAACATGTTTATAGCAGCACAATTTGTAATAGTTAAACCATGGAAACAACCCAAATGCCCATCAGTTGAGGAATGGATAAAAAAATGAGGCATTTTTATATAACGGAATATTACTCAGCTATAAAGAAAGACAACCTCAAGGCTTTTATAGGTAAGTGGATGCATCTAGAGACCATACTCATGAGTGAAATAAATCAGATTCACATGTGTAAACATCGTTTTGTTTCCTTAGCATAAGAATCTCAAAGAGTGAATACAATCTAAAAGGTACAATAGATATTGTGAAGGGGAAAGAAACTTCTCAAAAGGAAGGAATGACTGGGATGAGGGAAAAGAGAAGAGAAAGAAAGAAGGGAAAGTATGAATATATATACACGGGATAGCTAAGATAATTGCACTACTGATTTCTATTGTGTTATTGAAAGGAACAGTTAATGTTTAATTGTTTGATCAATCTTACAGGCCTATATTTGTTTATCTGAGTAAATAATTTGAAGATAGCAATATGCAATACAACAACCATTGTTGATTTCCTATCACTTTGTCTGAAATTCCGTATTGCTTTTGTTGTTTTTATGTTGTTTTATTTATTTCTGTATGTCTATTAGTATGTTTAGGCCTTTTATCTTTAAAATAAAGAAATAAAATAAAATAAAGAAGTTAACAATAACAGCAACAGCAAAAGTATTATGTTCACCTAAAAAGGCAGAATGAAACTCAAAGATGCCCTGTGAATAGGACATTTCAGCAGTTTCAAGACATGAAGTCCACAGTGACTTTGGACTCAGGCTTCCCATTAATAGAAATGGGGAACAATTCAAAAGGAGAAAATAAGGGCTTTGAATTATTTTATAAAGCAATGCTAACAGGAAATTACATGACACAATCTCCATGTCTAGCACAAGACAGAGTAAATAAAAATTATGAGATCATAGTCTGTCACAGCCCTAAGGAACCATGAACCAAATAAGTACAATATATACACACACTGAAGAGTATTAAAAGGAGAAATATGGAAGTTAGTGCACAGTCCATGATTAGATTGTATAAATCTTTGATTATACAGGCCGGGGATATAGCTCAGTGGCATAAGTGCCTGTCTGACAAGTGCAAGGTCCTGAGTTCGATTCCTGGTATCAAAAAAGAAAACAAACAAACAAACAAAAATCATTGGTTATACATAGTCAATAAACAAACATGAAAAAATACTAAGAGATAGAACAGTAAGTTTAGAAGGAAAACAAAATATTGGATGCTACTTCTATGCCACAGCATTATAAATAAAACATTTCCAACTAGGTTTCTTTTTCAGATCATTTAAATTAACAGTAAATTTGGCCTGTGTTCTTTTGCATATCTTTCTACATACTTCTTCTGGTGTTTGAAGGAGTACTTCACATTCACGGTTAATATTTACCCAATGAAAAAGCTGTGTTTCATAGAGGTCTCCTAAAGGAGCAAAGCAAATAACGTCTAAACAGAATCAGTATACAATAGATGCTACATAAACGTCTTTGGCTCGGTATACTTCCTTGCCAATACTGTTTGTTGTCCACACACCACTAATTTGCAAACTCCTTCCTTGGTTATTACCTCTTTAGAATTCTTAGTTCTAAGATTTTTTTCTATGCTACCTTCTGCTGGTTACACATAATTTTCAAGGTAAATAAACCTTCCCTTCCAATAAGGGTCAATGAAATAGATGAGAACTTCTTTGAAAAACAAACAAGAACATATGATTTTTTCCCTCTTCGCTATCGGAAGAAAAGGGCAGAGTTTTTACCTTGTGAGATGTGCGCTTCTCTGGAAAGTTGTGGCCACAGAGGGAGAGGTTCCAGGATTAAATGACAAGTGTTAAACCTTTCCAGAACAGGATATTCCTTTTATCCTGGCACGTGGAGCTAGACTTGTGGTAAATTTTTTACAGAAGTTGCTAAGCTGAAGATCTTTTGTGGACCTTGCTCTTTTAAGAAAAACAGGGAAAAGGTGCTGGCTGGCATGGGGTTCAGTGACATGGTTCTTCTCTCTAGCTCTCACTGTCTCAGGAATTGATTTTGGAGAACTGGGAGTCTGACCATGTGCCCCCTCTAGTCTGCTTTCCCAGCACATCAGTTTTCTGTCTGTCCTGTTGGAAGACAACTGCAAGCGAAGGCCTGGGAAGATCTGATTGTCAGGGAAACCCCCTTTCCTCCTTCCCCTCTTCCTAGCCACCTGCGACAGAGGCATATGGGGAGGCCGAGGCGCTGAGTGAAATGAGGCCTTCAAACCAGAGCTCTTCACCTGTACACAAGCAGGACAGAAAACCTGCTACGTGTACCGAGTGCTGAAGGATTTCCCTCATTTCTGAAAAACGGCGCTTCACTTCAACATCGCAGTGATGACTCAGCAGTTTGCTTCACTTCAACATCGCAGTGATGACTCAGCAGTTTGCAGTGTTAATAGACGCGGAAGCCGCTGCTCAGGGAGCTTGAACGTCTCCCTGTTGGCTGCATAGCTACTCGGCAGTGCCAACAGGATCTCATCCCAGAGCCCTATAGTACAGAGCACCTCCAACTCTCCTAGACAGCGCTACCCTCCTAAACACAGGGTGTGCTTTCCTACCTGGCGTGCGTGAGTTAAGAGGACAGTTTCTCCTCTCAAGTCTGTTATGTGAAAACAACCAAAAAGGGAAGTTTAACTGATAATTTTGTGGATGAAGAGATTTAATTAGAACAAAGACCCTGGCAACTGTGACTACATAAAGTAAATGTGCACAATATTCCAAGGCTTTTCTGTACAATCCAAAACAGCTCTGAATCTCCCACAATGATTAGGAAAGTACGACATATTCCAGTGTGTGAAAGTGTGCCGGATCCCGTCCACATCAATTACTTATATGTCATCTATGCCGCTTCTCTTAGATGTGATTTGTTTGCAAGTCTAAAATATTTCCTAACTGAGCCTTTAAAAATCATTTGTCTGCTCTCACTCTGAAGCACTAATTTTCTGCGCACCTCCTGTAGCTTGATCTTTGTCATGGATTAAAAAATATGACCTTTTTCCTGAGAAGAACACTGAGACACTTCCTCAGAGATGATACAGCTCCTGTCACCAAGGTGCTGACTCTGCACAACAGGCTGAGACGTAGTTATTACCCTAATCACAGAGACCTGACCACTACTGCCTCAGTCTCTCCGGCTCTCAAATTCAATCACGTGACTGAGGAATCTCCACCTGGCTTGGAACATACAGCTCTGATTCAAATATCTGCTCCCTTTTGCGTTAGAGAAGTCGTTTGTCTTCCCCAGCACGGTTCCCCATCTGTGAAATAGCATTGTTGTGTTAGACAAGGTAAATTCTCAGTTTATTGTTAAGCTCAGAAGATCATAGCTTCCCCTAAACATAGAGCTCGCAGTGCTAAAATAGCATCTGAAGAGACTCTTAGAAAAGACTTCCTCACCTGGCTGTAACCTGCCTTCCTAATGCCCCAGTGATATATTTGTTGAATGTATTCATTTATGACTTTGTTATTTGGTTTTAAAAGTTCCTGTAACCTCTGTGATGGTTTGTGTCTGGAAATCCCCACAAAACCTCACACAGTCTTGGATGGGCTTCTAGAGTTTTTGATTGAGTCATAGTCCAATGCTGGGATTATGGGTGTGAGTGCTACACTCACCCATCCTGGGGTGGGTAGCCTGCATACAATGTAAGGGAGGGAAAGAGGCTTGCTCTTGCTACTTTTGCTGTCTTCTGCTGCCATGAACTCTCTGCCATGTGCCACCTTGCCTTGGAGCCAGCTGAGTATAGATTGAAACCTCCACAAACTGTGAGCTAAATAAACCATTCCCTGTTAAATTTGGGTGCTGGGTATTTTGTCTCAGCAACAAAAGAAAAGTAACTGAAACAAATTTTTTTATTGTTGTTAGTGACAGTGGTTATAAAAGTTCATGTAACTCCTCTCTCTGTGGAACATGTCATGGAATCTGTGTTCTGAGGTCACAGTCACTTTCATTAGGTTCAGAATAAATTCTCTTTATACCTTTAAAGCAAAGTTCTTATATTATGTTTAAACCAGAGGTTTTAAAAAGTTAAATGGGTTAGCATTTATGAAATGCTTAGAAGAGTACCTGAAAAGTAGAAATGTGTACTGGTGTTTCTTAAATGAGACAGAACCAAAAATTACTCTGATGTAGGGCAAGATGCATGTATAAACATGTCTCTTAAAATACCAAGTCATATAATTTTTGTGTATTATTGTACACCTGCCTATTTTGACAAGCTGATTGAATGAGACACACTGCTGAAAAAATGTGAGAGAGGTGGTGTATTTTCCTAATACACAGAACTGCAAATCCAAATAACTGTTTGCTTTTCTGAAAACAGTCTCATCCAGTTCTTCAGCTGTGTCTTCCTCTGGTGGACACTCCTGACTACCTTACTGTGAGTGGACATAGCTCATTCACAGTCTTACAAAAGGCTATGACTATATTTGTATTCCTACTATTGATGAAACAACTATGTTAAAATACTACCCAAAACATAGCCAGATAGCCAGATAGCACAGATAATGTATTTTTAAATCTTAGATTAAAATATTGTCCTAAGTTACCTACATCTTAACAGGGTACTAATTTAGGAGAGGAAGAAATATTTTCCTGTTTTACAAGTGTAGAAACCCATTTTCTAATACTAGAAATGGGTGGTTCCAATTCACCTCTGATACTGATCCATGTATATTCTGGGGTGATTCCAAAGGCACAGGTTCCCAGCAGTTGGCTGGAAATGATGCAAGACTGCCCCCTGCCCTGAACTAATCAAAGAATGTAAGTGTATTTGATGTGGCTAAATGGATTGAGGTGTATTGTGTTACTCGATAATCAATATGAAGATGACGGGTGATGGCCTGGAGCTGTCCAATACCAGTTCTTAGGAAGAATCCCATGCACTGCCAATTGTGCTTTCAGGTGAACTTGACACCTTCAGACTCTGGAAGGACTCATAGTTCACTAAGGGAGTTTGGAGACTGAATGTTCTGTTTGGGATGTGGTTTGCTCTGAGGGTTTATATATAAGAGGAGGTATGGGAAGGGGTCTGAACCTCTGAGAGGGTGGAAGCACAGGGAGAGATACTGTCCCTGGAAGTGCTACCTCAAAAGGAATTAAAATGGTTTGCACCATAGACAGTTATCTTAAGAGGAAGCTGATCTTCAAAACACCCTTCTATGGTCTGGAGATGGGCCCTGCTCATTTCACACATGCTCTTGAATATACCATTTACAGATCTTCACCCCAACATAGATAATTCCTTTGCTGTGCCTTTGAGCCTCTAAAATTGGAAGCTAAATAACCCTCTTTTCTTTATAAAGTTACCCCATCTTAGGTATTTCGTGATAATAATGACAAACAGACTAGAGCTACCCCAAACACAAATCTTATCAGGCTCCTGTGTATCTGGTCTCAATAGCTTCAATAGTCCAAGATGATAAGGCCTTATTTTACAAGCATGGATCCCTCTAGTCTTCTAGAAATGAGTCAACTATGCAAGTAATTAAAGAATCAGACCTATAATATGGATATTTTAGTATAACAAGGAAAATCAATATGTATAACAATTTATATCCTTATGACTTGCAGCAGAATTTTATCCATTAAAGTCTGTTAACTATAAATGCATAATTGAATAATTAATTCAGAGTTATAGGTTGGATTATTATGAAAATTTTGTACAAGTTTAGAAGATCTACTACAACTTCTAATCTACTAATTTTATTGTAAGTTTAATCACTAAAGTTTTAAGAAGTATTTGCTGTTGAGGATGATTCTATTTGTTACAGATAATTTGTCTTCAAAAGGAAAATTATAAATATAGTTGGGTCATTAAATGTATTTAATATACTAGGTTTATAAATGGATCTATCCACATTTATGGGTTCTTCAAAAGAAATTGCTTGCATTTCAGACCTCTAACTGACTTGGAAATAGAACAAGAAATTCATATCAAAATGAATTTTGAAAAAAATGAATTTACTGGGAGAAAATCCTTGAAAGCTATTAATTTGACTCAGCATTAGTATCAAAAATATACAAAACACAAAATTCACAACGGAAAGAACAATAATCATAAGTGGACAACTCAGCTAAAGTACAAATAGCCAGTGAATGCATGAAGAAATGCTCAGCATCTTTAGACATTGGAAAGGCAAATTAAATCTACATTGAGATTCCATTTCATCTTCATCAGGGTGTCTAGTATCAATAAAATTTTAAAAAACAGCTGTATGGTTTGTGTCTGCATGTCCCCCCAAATCCTCATGCAGTCATGGAGTGGGCTTCTAGATTTATGATTGCTTTATGGTCCAATGTTGGAATTACAGATGTGAGTGCTACACCTGCCCTGGGGTGGGTAGTTTGCATACAATGTAAGGGAGGAAAAGAGGTTTCCTTGCTGCTCCCCCCTTTTGCTTTTGTTGGTATTGGCTACCTTCTGTTGCTGTGAACGGTTGCCCTCTGCCATGTGCCACCCTGCTTTGGAGCCAGCCGAGTATGGACTGAAATCTCCACGGACTGTGAGCTAAATAAACCTTTCCTTCCTCAATTCTGGGTGTCAGATATTTTGTCTCAGCAAGGAGAGAAAAGTAACCAAGACAACAGCAAATACTGGTGAGGATGTGGGGTAAAGAATCATCTATACACTGTTGGTTATAATGAAATTGGTATGGCCACTGTGGAAAAGAGTATGGAGGCTCCTCAAAAAATAAATATAAAGTTAAGTATGATCCCACCCAACCACTCCTTGTTATATACCCAAAGGAATGAAAGGCAACGTACTGACATACCTACACCCAGGGTATTTATGGCCCAATTTAAAACAGCCAAGTTACAAAATCAGCATAGATGACCACCAGTGGAATAAAGGATGAAGCAAACGTCATATGAAGATATTAGCTAAACAGAAAAAGGCACTCAGATAATTCTCAGCATAATGAATGGAACTGGAGATCATCATATTAAGCAAATAAAAGACTTAGAAAGACAGGTATCATGAGTTTCCTGTAATATGTGGAATGGAAGAAGGAAAGATGGCATGAAATTAGAAGGATGACATTAGGGAAGGGAAAGAACTGGGAGGAAAGAGGGTGAATAAGAAAGGGCTTTAGGGAGGGTGGATATTATCAAAGTATATTAAATACCTACATGAAAATGTCATAATGAAACCCATCATGGTGTACAATTTCACAGGTGCTAAAAATTTTTCTTAAAAACATAAAGATGAATCTATTTAAAAGAACAGAATGGAGCTCTATAGGTCCATCATCTTGAGGGCTCTTTAGCCAAGACTGGAAAGAAAATATTCTTATTATTCGTGGCAAATTCTTATGGAAGTCTTGAATAAATTCTGAATGATGACCTAAAGCCATATAACAGTCTACCTCAGGCTGTTGAGTTTGTTTCAAGATTGAATGGGCCAATCTCTATCACAGGTTGTTTTACATGTTATTATCATCACTGCTTTGCGATAGCTTCATTTGGTAAGACAAAATCAATATTCCTCTTCCCTACTAACTCAAGATTTCTCTTTAACTGGATTAGTGCTCTGTCTCTTTCTCTCTCTGCCATGTATCATGTGGCCTCTTTGTCTCAGTATGAAGAGATTCTCTTCTCCCTTCTTCTCTATCACAAGTTCCTCTTCTATTTGTGACATCAGGGCAGGTCTGCAGATTATGTACTACCCAGTGTTCAAGGACAAGCCTCTCACCTATTTCTCTTACTCGTTGAGGAACTGGGCTGTGATGGTCCCAAACCTTATCTCAGGGACATTGCCTTTCCTTCTTTCCTCCTTTGAGCACCGATCTTCTCAGCCCCTGTCCCAGATCATACACACCACTACATTAGGTCTGAATGTTCCTGCTAAGGTTCCACAAAGAATTTCTGCACTGTGAGAGGAATCTGGAGGGGATTAATAAAACTCAGTCTTTAGAAACAATGCTGGAATCCTTTTTCAGGGTATGAGTTGCAAAAGACAGCTCTTTGCAAAATACATTAGTACAAGTTGGAAAAGTATTATTGACTGCTTTGTTTCTGAATAATTATTATTGCTTCACATATATTATTTATATTCATATATGCATGTAATATATTTTACAATGTTTTCATGGAAGATGTAGGAAGCTATCTGGGAAAGAATACACAGGAGAGACAACTCTTCAGGCAATAAAAGAAAAAAAAAAAGCCAACGAGGCCAAAGGGGAAAAAAATCATAGAATCCACGTCCTGCCAAGTGAAGAAGCGTCAGTGATCCAGGGGAGCAAAGGAGAAACCATGCAGCCAATTAAAGCAGAATATAAGCGACCTGAACGGAGGGAGGGGTACCACACAGGGAGCGGGTGTGTCCGGCCACTTCAGCCCAAGGAAATGAAGGACAGCCTGTGAGTGGTTTGATGACAAGGATTCAGGGTGAGCTGTTTGTCACTGACCCCTGTTCCCCGAGCTCACAGTCTACTCCACATTACACTTGATTCTTTTTCTCAGCTTCCCCATCCACAGCTCCAGATATATGCACAGCCCACTCTCAGCATCCCGTGCTCAGGGCCAGTGTCACACAGGCACACAGTTCCACTGGTTCCACTCACAAGGCATAGGGACATAATGCAGCTTGATGCTTGACTTTTGCATGGTGTAGTTGGCCCTGTCCACGTGCCCATACAATGGGAAGCCACGTTTGCTCAGAGTCTGGATCTGGTAGAGGGCAGTATGATAAATGAGAGCCTGGCCCCGGTACTCAGGCACAGTAGCTCCCATTCGCAGCTCTCCAGTGTGGTCCATCAGGGACCAAGACACGGGGGTCCCCTCAGGCCCCAGCAGACAGAAGCTGGGAAAGGTCCGGATACAGCGCTCAATGAATCTCCGGCTTCTCTCAGTGCCACCAAAATACCACAGTTGGTTCACCAGAGCAGCATGGGCAACGTCCAGGGATGAGCGCTTAAACATCTCTTGGTTGCTGTTGGAAAGAAGAAAAAGAGCAGCACTTCGTGTCATGTCCTGGAGGCAAAGAGGCGGTACTGAAGGGCATGTGCTCTGAAACCCAGTGACGTGGGTTCGTATCAACCTGCTTGTGTGGCGCCGGCCCTCTCAGTAGCGAGCCTCTCCTTCTCTGCATTTCTTTGCAGAGGGACTAGAGATGCTGGGCACAACTGACTCCCCTGGACGATCCCCGAGGGGGCTGAGGGGCCGCAGGCAGTTAGAGCAGCACTGTGGGGTCTAACGTTGCTGCCAGTAGGATGCAAGCACCAAATAGGCAAGTTAAGTGAATTAGCTAATTTCAGATAATCATAAGTGCAATGGAGAAAGCCAAACTTGCTCATATATGGGGAGCAGCAGGGAAGAGACTCTGGGGGGGATGATTTTTTTTTTAAAATTAAAAAAAATGTTAAAAAACAATAAAAATGATACAGAATTTCAAAACAAGATGATAGCCAATCAGCACTGGTTGAATATTGCATATTGTCATCTTCAAAGTAGTTGCTCATATCGCCAGACATAGGTATGCAAAATTGATCAAACAATTAAGCTTCAACTGTTCCTTTCAATAAGCCAATAGAAATTAGTAGGTGGGATGACTTGCCAAGGTAACATTTCAACAGATTCCCAGTAACAAAAGAAATCAGTTGTATAAACATTTTTTACTGCCTGTGTATGTTTGTGATTTATAATAGACGAATTGCATTCGTCTTGGGCAATTGCAAGTATACATAGCTCGTCTTGGTGTTTTTTTACTTCCTCTTCCTTTGCCTTCCCCTCCCCTCCCATTCCTGGATCCCTTTCCCATCTCCACAGAGTCTATCTCCCTATTTCCTACCATCTCTCTTTTATTTAGACACTGTAGGATTGGGAGCGATGTGTTTTAGATGGTTGGGGGACCTTAATGCAAGGTTGCACAGACATCAAATGGAACCCCCTCCCAACTCTGGGTTTCTAGGTTCAAAAACAGTGAAAGAATTACTTTCTATCATTTTAAATGGAATTTCTGTGACAGAACTTGAAAACTAACATTAAAGACAACTTCAGCAGGGACAGGTGTGGATGGCGAAGAGTGGCCGTCATCAGACTTACAGGGACTTGGGTTTGTTGGCACTGGATGAGAAGTTCTTTGTGTCCACCAGGAGAGGAATCAGTTTCTCTGCAGTGTCCATTGTCATATAGAGATTGCATTGTGTGTGCTTGACCTGGCCACGATTAATGGATACAAGGTTCTCTATCACCTGATGCAGGCTGGACTGTGAACCTAGATGGGGAAAATGAGGAAGCACGTATCATTGGTCATGTCAACTTTGGGGAACGTTGCGCAATGCTGTTGGAAAGAATGTGGATATAGAGCTATCACGCACACTTTGTGTTCAGTCATAATAGAGGTTTTATATGGCAATGGGTACATCGCTTTCACATTTTCTAAAATTTCTAATTTGGGTAATATCACAAGTCTCCTGTATATGTTACAGCACAGGTATGACTATCAAAGAAGGTAGAGCATAGATCTAAAATTTCTTCAATAAATTCTAGGCACTAAGTATTTAGACTTTTGTTATAATGTCTCAGTATTGTTCTTATCTCACTAACATGATTTTCTCTTTGGAAATGTCTCTAGGCTTGGCTTGATAATGTGCCTTGGCCATAAACAATTGCCTAACAGGCATTAAAAGTGTGCACTGGGTCTCACTTTGGCATTTTTCTCCTGAGGACCCTGTGACTTTTACATGTCAGCCAAGCCACTTCCATCACTGCAGTTAATAATTCCCACAAAATTAAGATCAACAACCAGGACTGAGACCAAGACTAACCTTGTTCTCCCAGTTCTCAGAAAACCCCCCTATTATGTTCAAATGGTTGATCTGGGTGAGACTTGTGGAAGAACCTCCAAGCTAAGTCTACTCCAAAGTGCTGGCCCACACATTATGAGCTAATAAATAATTGTTGCTCTAAATAGATACTTCAAGTGACTTGAATATCTAACTGATAAAAAGAATACTGCTCATTTCCCATTCAAACTCCCATTTAAGCCTTAAGAACTATGTATGTCAGGTATTTTATAATCATTGTTACACACAAGGAATCTCATCCACAGAGAGGTTGTTACTTTCCCTAAATCACAGTAAAAAGGAAGTCCAGTCAGGCTGCAATCTTAGGTAGTCTGACCCTAGACAACATACTCCTATTTACAAAAATACTCCTTTGCGAATTTTACAGTGGAGTGAAACAGAAATTGGACAGAGAGGCAGCTTTGCTCCTTCCTGTTCTCTGATTGATCCTGGGTGCACCGTGAAAAAATTAGGAGACTTAGTAGAGACAATGTTATTCACAATGCCCTATGAAAACTTACCTACCAATGTCTTTGTATTTTCCCTATGAACATGGTGGCTGCAGAGGGTGTGAATGGACAGGAGGCTGAGGATCTAAGATTTGGGGAGGGAAGGTCCGTTGGGTGTAAGGTGCTTGTTCAAAATGAATAGTGAGGGGCTGGGATTTAGCTCAGCGGCAAAGCGCCTGCCTGGCAAGTGCAAGGTCGTGAGTTCAGTTCCCGGTACTGGAGAAAAAAAAGCCAAAAAAAAAAAAACACCCCCAAAACCCCAAAATGAATAGTGAGCCCAGCAATGTGTACACAGAGAACTCGGCTTCAAGCACAGACTCCAGTTCTCTTACTTTGAATCTGCAGATGCTGTTTCCAGTTGATGACTGCGGGGGAGCCCAGGAATTCCTGGCTTTGGTCAGGATCCTTGGAGTAGATTAGGTAAGTGTTGGTGTAGTGATCGAGGTCGTCAGTCATTTCCTGTTTGAGAAGAGAGGAGTCAGCCAGTGTTTGTAATTGGTGATTGCTACTATGGTATTCAATATTCTGTTAATTACTATTTTTACATACTAAAATAAGTATGTTCTGTGGGGGGGATTGTCTTAGGAATTATTTATATTGTGTGGTGAAATTCAAGGTCTTTTATTCAATTATAATGAAAAATTTTCCATACAAATCTCTTCCCATCTCAGCTAATTGTTTGAAACCTCAAGAAGAATCCTCTTAAAATCATGTTTTGATAACTCCAGGAACCTCAAGTGGAAGAGTTGAAAATCAAAATAATAACTTAACAGAATAAACCTGGGGCTGGGCTAGGAGTATGTTCTCATTAAAATCCATCCAGGTCACAGGACTAGAGTTTTCATCTATCAGTGGTGAAATCAAAGAAAAAGATGATGGATGAAGTAATGCTTTCTTTTTTAAAAAAATGAGTAACCATTGTTAAATGAACTACAATTCTACCAAAAAACATATTCACTAATATGTATATTCAAATATGCCCAGCAAATTCCTAAAAGCTGAGGAGGGGATTATTTGAGCATTAAGGAACAGATAAGAGGAAAATTATCACTTCTTAGAATCAGAAAGGGTTTTTTTTAGTGCAATATTAAGATTATATTAAAGAAAAATACACTTTCTACTCAGTAAAGACATTGTGGATCAAACTAGAAATTTATCTCTATTGCCTTATAAAAAATTGTTTTCATCTTCAACATCCAGCTTTGATAAAATTTCTACTAAGCTGCAGTTCTGATCCTATTGTAATATCTACCACATGTTGTTATTTGTTTTCTGCCTGGTTTTATTGACTGTCTCATGGACAGTTGATTACAATACAGTTTCAAATCTCAATGGGAAGACAGTATTCTAGTGAGAAACTGTAATTGAGTAGTAAGGAGTCCATATGTTTCAAGGTCGGTGAATTCTTTTTCCATACTGGGGATTGAGCCCAGAGCCTCCTTAAAAGCTGCATCCCCAGTCACTGTCCCTTTTTTTAAGACCAAGTTCTGCAAAATCTCTGAATTTCTCAGGCTGGTCTTGAACTTGCTATTCTCCTGCCTCTCACACCCGAAGTGCTAGAATTAAATTTTGTTGCAGCAGTCTTCCATAAGCCAGAGCTTTTAAATGACAACAAGTAACTTTTTTGCATTAGGCTAATAGTTGAAAATGTGACAAAGGTCTGATTTATTGCAATATAAAGGCCTAGCCTGGGAAATGATCTTTCAATGACTATAACAAATGATCAGACTCCTCTGTACCAATAAGTTCTTGTCACAAAACTTTTCATTGTTGTCTCTAAATCCCATGGACCTAACGCCACAAGTGAGAAAGGATTACCAAATATGTGCTGGGGGATTGTATTTTAAACAGAAGTAAAATAACAAGTATGTATGTGGCATAAGCTTTTAATTGCTTTCTCCCTGAATTACTACTATATCTTCTCTGCAATTCTGTTCCTGCCCCTTTCACACAATGCTATAATTTTCTCTAGGTTCTCCTGCATGGACCACTTGAACACCTGGCCTTGTGGGCATCACTAGGAGTCATTTCTGTTTCCCTGAGTTAAACCATGTTGCGTGGCACAAAGTAGTAACACAACATACACAAACACAATGGCATATTCGCTCCACAGCTGGTAACTTACCTGCTCCTGAGGACGAATAACTACAGTATTAAAATCAGGCCATGAGTCCACCAGGGCCTTAAGCTTGAATGGGTTTCCCTGGTTCATGTGGAAGACAGTCCCGTAAACCTACAACAGTTCAGCAAAGCAAGAGATCAGCTCATTAGAAAAGATGCTGATGTACCTCTTGTTTGACCAAAATAGAGATTTTTTAAATAAAATCACGGAATTTTTATAATTCAAAAATGGCTAATAACATCTGTGTCAAATGGCTTTTACATCCTTCTTATTCCAATTAAACTATCTTTTAAAAATATTATGATAAAAACAACATATGAACACATTCTCCTGTTGTAGAATCTAGTAGCAGCTTTCACAGTTTTCCTTCTATGAGGTAGACAAAACCAATATTGCAAAAATAAAAAAACTTCAGCTACTTTTTTTACTCATTACATGTATTTTTGGGATTACCCATTAAAGTATTTTGGTCATTTTGGCTTTAAAATCTTTCCCAGGTTATTTGAAAATCTTTATTATCTCACTGATGATATTTATTGATTGTTTCTCTTTCAAAATCAAATTTTCCTGGTTATTAAATAAAAAGTTATCAAGCAATTGAATCACTGACTTATTGGTTATTACATAATGAGACTGTGGGTCTTGCTTCAGTTTTGTTATAGGGGGTTTCTCTGGAGTTGGTCTGGCAGGGGAAGAAGAGAAGAGTGGCCCCTCAGAGGTGCAAGCTGGGCGGACAGTCCAGATTTCCCACTGAATCTCCATGGACACTTGAGGGTAATCGAGGTCTCTGACAATATGGGGTCAAGTTCCAAGTTCTCCACTTGCCCTTCACGGGTGGGGATACAGCCGCTCCCTGTTATGCTCCCTATGTACCATCCCCTGAGGTCATCCTGGGTCTGTGCAGCTCCCTCAGGCCTGGGTGTAATGAGAGTCCTGAGTCCTCACCAGGCCTCCCCTAAACCACTGAGAGGAAAGGGTGAGAGATACCTCCTTCATTCCAGTAAGTGGTTGGGTTCAGTTTGCCCAGTCATTGTGTCAGGCCTTTCAAGGTGGCGATACCAAAAGTAAAAAACACATGTGCCCATGATTCACCTAATGTGTGGCCCAATAATAACTGACACTTGCATGGATTTTCTGCACGTCAGGCAGGGTTACCACCCAAGACATAATCCTTGGTGGTAGCAGCCACCCCAAGAGCTGGAAGCTCTCATGAACCCCATTTTGCCTGGCAGTGAAGCCACATACTGAGATTGTGCTCAGCCACTTGGTACAGGCTCTGCACAGTGGTCACCAAACATGCACGTTCCTTTTCCTATTCCTGCGAAGGAGTGAAGTCCACCCAATGACATCTTTTACGTCAAATGCCTGCGCTTTGACTGACATGTGCTCCCAGCACAAGCTCTAAGGGATTCAGTCTTCTCGTGCAAAATAATCGTGTCCTTTGTGTTATGGCTGTGTCTAGATGTGCCCCCCAAAGCCTCATGGGGTCATAGATGGGGCTCTTTCAGAGGTGGCTGGACCTAGAGTGTGTGATGCTGGGGTCAGGGGTGTGTGATTCTTAACAGGTTCTAGTTATTTCTTGGTCTCCTTCATGAATAACACAAGATCCATTGAGTTTTGTGTCATAGGATTTGATCTTGCATGTTCCAAGAAGATGCGTGGAACATGCATCTGATTGACCTCTGATTGATACACATGTTTTAAAATTAGTGTCTGTGGAAATCAACCTTTGGAAGATATATCTGGGGAAATTTCCACTGCGGTTGTGAACATTTCTGAATGTATACAATGAGTGAGTAGAAAGCACAATTTTGCCTTTCTTTGATATTTAGTAGGTCACATTTTGAGAACTGTTTTCTTTTCTGGGACGTGAGCATAATGGCCATTGAGATGTGGACCTCAGTGTCACAGCAGGAGAGGGCACCTGGCAAGGCAAGGTGTGCAGTTCAAATTTTTTCTTGTTCCCAGTCTCTAATAGGCACTCAGTGGTCCTTTTTCCTGAAGAATGCTCCAGTCTCACCTTTAGGGACTCGGGGAGGGCCATCCTCAA